GTATAACATGTCATACAAAAAATGTGCAAACACCGTGACATCAATAATTTAATAGATCGATAACAATTTATTCCATGGGGAATTGTCAGCTATGTGGGGGTGATGTTTGGTGTCTCTGCCAGGTTTTTGCGGATTCTCTTTCCTGCGAGGGTTCTACCTGCAGGGCCTCAGCTGTTAGCCCTACTTTGTCGGCTGCTCATGTTCCTCTCAGAACTGCCAATTTCCCATCCCTGTTCCGACACTCGGGCCTCCAGTGGAGTAGGTGCCGCGGAAGCAGGTCTTGCATTCTGACATACCCTCCTGATCCTTGGCAAGTCCAAGTCTTGGGGCTTTCGGCTATGAGAGTTGAAAGGTCAACAACCAACGACTGCCACCGACCGGTCAAGTCGTATCTACGAGGCAACGCCGAACGCGGAAAACATCGAGACGTGACGCCGAACTGCGCCGTTTTCCGCACCCAGCACCGCGCCGATGTCAACCAGTTACGTGCGCGTCGTGATGCTGTGTAGCCTCTTTACAGCTTCAAACGAACTTGGAGGATCGATGGTATAGGATGGTATAGGGCGTCCTATGGGGCTCTCAGTGCATCCGGTTCGGTCGCCCGGTCGCCCCACGGGTTGAAACGGCGTTTCACGATGAAAGCCGAACCCAATCCCGCTGGGCGAACGAAAGTCGTTTGGTCAGAAAACGCAACAATCGTCTTCCGTATCATTGGGATCCATTAATTGATCATTTCTAAGGCATGTCATGTCCAATTCCCTGCCTCTGTCCCAACGTCCCATCATCCCAGCGTCCGCATAGAGCCCGGGAGCACAACGCTCGCAGGCGCTCGACTTCTCGTTGCTTGCAAAGCGGCCCACGGGGCCTCAGCAACCGAGAGCGAGAATCCACCAGAATTCACGAAAGTGGCCGGCCTGAGGTTCTCATTGGCTCCCTGTAGATCTGTAGTGAGGAAAAGCGAGGAACATGATGCTTTGCTTGGCTTCCTCTTTAGGCACCAGCTGCGAAAGTCTGACTTGCTGCTGGGGTGAAGCCACAGCAAAGAAGCACCCCAACACAGGAGTTCCGGACCGTTCATTGGATGATGTTGACCCATCTCAAGTCAAGTATATAGTTTTAAACTTGGCATAGGGCCGGGGCTACGGATGGACCGTCAACACTTGGCCTTTCTGCTGGAGATCCTGTTGGTGCGGCCTAGCACCATCAGGGGTCCCCAAAAGACTCATGTGCCACCTCAAAGCCTTCAAGTTTGCAGCACAAATGGTCTGACCCCTCCCCTCATGCTCTCAAGCATTCTCGAGTGTACCAGTATAGTAACTTCATGTCACATGCATGGATTGGATCAAGTTTGTGGGAGCCTGGAGCATGGCCCTGCCCTAACATCGGAGGGTTGAGCCAGGTGATGCCAATCGTGTGCCCAGTCAGTTCGAAGGACGGACCTACTCCAGCGATCTCTCCGAGACACAGGTGGTGCAGCTGGAATCGCCGGCGAGGGCGAAACTTCCCGTGCCACAGTTGAAGCAACCTTGGACTGGCAGAAAGCCCATGGGACCTTGGGACCTTGTTCGACCTTGCCGATGTTCACAGATGTGAAACGTGACTTAGACGCACAGTCCGTGCACGGCCGTGGGGACATGAGAAAATCTGGTGCACACCAAAGCAACTGGTGGAGCCGGAGTTGCTGGACTGTCCATCTTCACAGGTGTAACCTGAGCCATTTTGCGTGGCTGCCCGCGGCCAGGGTATTTATATAGAGATATTTAGAGGATCCAGGGGTGGAGCAAGAAACCAACCAACAAACAAATCTTGCTTGGGTAGTGTCCCTTTGAATGAAGCCAGACTCCACCAACTCGGCAAGCTCATCCAAACTCTGCTTTGGGTTCTTGAGATGCTTGGCATCGCTTAGTCCTACTCAGGGGGACATGCGGGAAGTCATTAGATTCCAACAAATCACCAGTCGGCGCAGTAGGAGACATCGAAAACGGCACAAGGGCCAAGCAAAAGTGGGTCTTCCCACCTGGGGACCGACCGGTTGACCTTGACAAATGAACAGAATGGACTACCAGGGAGGTCAACCTGGACCTACTGGGGTTTAGGGCTCCAGGTTTTGACCCACTATCATCATATCATATGTATGGCCCGTCGAACGACCGTGGAACAGTTGAACATCTTCCTATCACGTCAGCCGGTGGGGTAGGCGTAGAGTCTCAACTCTACGTGCAGTCCTTCTTCTGCCTGTGTGAGGCCTTCCAAACTCGTTCTTCCAACGGTCACCTGTGGATACCACGGTCACGTGTTACCGGATTTCGGCGTCGGCTTCCGGCGTCACGGTCACTACCGCGTCTCGTGCGGTCCCAGCGGCAGGTGTCCATGGCCAAGAAGGGCTGAAAGGTGCCAGGATTACCTCAGTGGATACCAACCTCTTGTATAGTCTTAGCACTCAAATACCACCTCTTAGTCTTAACACTCAAATACCACCGGCACACTGCCGAATTTCGCACTTGGGAGATGTGCGCAGCGCACTGGGGAGGGTGCTGGACTTTCTGGGATTTCTCGAGTTCTCAGCTCCTAGAGTTACTGAACATGAACAAATCACTCATCATGCCATGGAATCAGCCCTTCCCCTGCATCCTCACTCAGTGGAAGAGGTCTTCAAACTCAAGCAGCAACCTGCCATACAGCAGTAGACAGAAGCTCCGGGCACACTGCACACTCCTGACTCTAGCTGAGCACCGGGCAGTTTTGACAGTTGGTCCAGCCTCTCATGACAAATGATGCAGCTTGCAGTGCCGCCCCAGGGGGGTCCTGTCATTCCTGTCAACCAGCAACCTCAGGAGCCTCATGAATCGAACCTTCTCATGAGCACGTTCGTCTCGTCATGGCACAAGCAAAGCAAACATAGACATAGACAATTACACAAGTACAGGATCTTAGCTGAGTTTCGCACCTTAACGCCCCTCAGAGCAAAAGCATCACTTTTTTAACCTAGCCTAACACCTGTTAGATTAGATCCACTCCAAAGTGACAACCATCTGCCGCTCTCCCGCCTCCTCCAGAGTACTGTCCTTGGAGATGGGGACTGCAGTACTGTGATCAAACAAGCCTTCACCCAGCACAACCACAGCGCTAGGTGGTACAAGGTTCAGTTCAGGTTTGGGTGACACAAAGGCTGTCTCAAAGAGCATTCTTGGCTGCCTTGGGCTGTGCCTAAACCTAGATCATGAAACACAAATGTTACATTGTTTTGGTGGCTGCCACACTGATGTTGGTGATGTTGGGCCTGTGCACGTGACAGATTGTATTGAACCTTGACAAAGACTTTTCCGCAAAACAAGCATTTGGATTTTCAGTATATATTTTTATATTGTATGTATACACACCTGATGTCTACATTCTGCGTGGGTGCTTAGCTCGTAGGCCTACAGCATCGCAACCTTAATTTGGATTAATCCTAGTGTTGAAGGAAGAGATTGTGCACCACTGGTACAAATCTGGAATGATACCATCGACCTCCATCTCCTGTCTACTCTTCCGGCGACCGTAAAGTACATGGAACGGTGGAACGGGGGTTCCTCCCGCCGACTCTTTCGCGCCAGCGAACCAAACAGTGCTGCAGTTCTGCTATTGCCAACATTGAGTGGATGATATCCCAGAAGTCGAAGCGTCTCCAATGTTACCCTGGGTGGCACCTCAAACATTTTGCAGGCATGTTCCAGTTACTCACTGAGACTCCAGGGGACACGACCGCAATTCTTTGGTCTTTGACTAGAGCTGCAGCCAGCTCGATTAGCACCCCAAACAAAGGATCACTGCAACCTCCTGAGGTTTGATGCTTGGGCCAAGGGTGTATCCATGTCTACCCGAATCTACTGCATACTGGCTGTCGAAAATTATTGAAAGAGCTTCATTCCTGGACCCTTAAAGGGTCTCCATTAAAAATCCCTAAGACAGCCCTAAGAGGTTAAGGGGTCTCTACAAGCAACACCTTCTGGGTCCTACTATCTATATCATATCTATGCAGTTGGATCGGAGCAATGCTTGCCAAAGTGTCCAGCGTCACATGCCTGACATTGAGTTGCCTGGCCCAGGGATGCAAGACCACCGGTAATTAGTAATAAGAGATTCCAGCGGGAGAATGGTCAAAACGAGTCAAACCAATCAGTTTTGTGCAAAAGACAAAACTATGTGTGTTGCAAATGGGATTGCTGAGCATGATGCAGCAATGCAACTAATCAATACTAATCATGCGTTTCAGAAAGCTTCCAACGCGCGGGAGGACAGTAGTCCGACCCCAAAACCAAGGCACCAAGTGTTCAAACCATGGCCCATGGTACGCATCGCTTGAGGGAACGCTCTTCCCTCGGTCTTCCTAAACGCTGCATGGGGATCACACACACCGCGCAGTCTCGTTCGAACGGAACCGCGGTCCTTGGACCTGTTTTTTCCTCCGCGGTCGCGGGTCGCCACACCTGAGGATTTCATCCTCTCAGTCTCAGTCCCTATGGGCATGAAGTCCCTCGTTTTCAGCGACGCATTTTTTTTCTCGGCCGAATGGATCGGCTGCTCTGCTGCGGCTTTGCAGCTTCCACGGTTTCCACAACGAATGGTGTCTTTACGTGGCTTGAAGACAGAATACAATTGTGGTGTGGAGCATTGTTGACATATATCAAAATGGGCATTGCTTCTGAAGGAATACGCACCCAGGGTATGCTATGTTCCGCTCAAGTGTCCTACTCCCAATCCAAGCTTTGAGTCAAAACCCGGCTCCAAAGGAAAATCGCACTGAACACGCCCGGGCAGGACTCAAGGGTAGAGTGGCATAGTAGTATAATTATATTAATTAATATATATAGAAATTTGTGCCATGTAGTGCCGTAGTGCCAAAAAACACTGGCTGGGACCCAGAAATCCACTCTGTTTGCGTGGCGTCGCAACTGATACAGTAAAGGATATGGGATGCTTTGAGTCCTGGCTCCCCTACATCGCCGAACACCACTCACTCACCTCACAGCTTCAGCTTCAGCCATCTCCTTCTGTGTGGACAACCTGTGATTCTTCCCCAGCAAAAACAAAGAGGCATGGCCGTGCTCTTCGTGACATGGAGGGGAAAGGGCAACAAGATTTCGAACCCAAAGCAATTCTTCCAAAAACACAGTGAAAACTCCAGCCAGCTCCACCTTTGCGGGAGGTGAGCGTGAACACGAGGTTCCGGGCAGGGGCTTTGAGCATGTTGGATCCAATTCCAGCTCCCCCACTAAAATAGCCAATGGACTAGGCCTTCGAACCTGCCAACACGTTCACTAGGGATCCTAGAGGTCTTTCCGGATCATCGCAGTTTCTCAAAGTCTCAGCTTGGATGTGCGCAGCAAGAAAAAACCATAGATGTGGCCGTCCAATGGACGCAAGCAGCCGCAATACGGTCCGATGCTACCCCCAAGCGCGCCCTCAAAATCTCACGCCACTGGCGCTAGCAGACTCGATAGGAGTGATAGATAGATATACAATATGAATGTAATATAATATGAACAGCTCATCATGAAAACACAGAGAGGAACTTATGGAGACGATGTCTTTTTTGCCACGCATCTACCACATTCCGCAACCTTCCGCAACCACATCTACCACATCTACCACTCTCACCTCCGCAACGCACGAACCGGGTCACCCCGGGTCACGGTCCCAGTGACAAGTGCCGCTTCACGCCGTTGCAGTGCGCTGCACCCAGCACCGCCACGACGGAACCGGCGGAACCGGTCGCGCCGCAGGTCTGGCGGATGGAGCGCGCCAGGACCAGGTCGCGATCGCGCAGCAAGACACCTGAGGTCGGGAAAACCCGAGTGTGGCCCGAGTGAGCGGACGTTCTGTGCAAAGCTCGAAAAACATTGTGTTTTAGTATTCCAGACACTCCAGGCTATGGAAATAGTCACATTCATTTCCCCCATTGATGACACTATTGTAAGGTCTGGGTATGGCAACATATATAATGTCACATTTACAGGGCACAGGGAATGTGGTTGTGGAATGAGCCTGGAGCAAACATGGTGCCTGCAAAAAATCATGCCTCCTCGTCGTTGTCAACTCACCGTCCGACGTTGCCACAAACACGTAGTGACGTTGTGACTCTCCAAGGTGCAAAGGATCAGCCGCAAGAAGACCAATTCCTGAGCGCTGCGACGCGCACGCGCGCGCCATCTCCGACGTGACGATCAGCGAGTCAACGAGTGTTCCGGACACAGGCTGGTTGTGCATGACCCAACTGCACGTGTGTGTGCATCTCCACGACCATAGATTCACGTGTTAGAGGTGATAGCTTGTGCTGCCAGGGGCACGCAGCCACTACACATCGTGGGGGTTGGACTTGATCACTCTGGTGTGCAATTTCCTGACTTGCTCACTGATGTCCTTTTGGGCACATTGCAGTGATCAGGTTGCTACAGTGCTACAGTATACCTATGATTAATATAATGTGGTACACTTGAGCTAGCCCCTCTACATCAATAGACATCAATTAAATAAACTCACCTATTCAATTTAGGCACTCTATATGAGCTTGCTAATGCTTGCTTTCCTTTAGCACTGCCTTTACAGTATATAGTCCGTGACCTGGTAGAAGCTGAGTAGGTCGGCAAACTGGAGAAGTCGCTCCAGTTTGGCTGGAGCCGTGCGCGATGTTCTCGCAAACACGTGCCCCATGTGAGGGTGGCATGCACACAACCACAAGCACGACATACCACATCAATCCTTATCACCCTCACAATTCCAAGAACAACAATAGTGTGACTTCCCAGTGGGTCAACTAATCTCAAAAACCAAACACAGCAGTCAGGACTCGTTCCGAAACTCACTCGCGCCAAACTTAGTCGAGTGGCTTTCATGTTCAGCCTCCGAGAGTAATCCCTTTCCCGCAAACTCCCAGAGGGACATAACGCTGAACTCCAAACCTATGCAATTGCATCACCCGAGCCAGCTCTATTCCAGCTCTATTCTGGTATTCTTGATTGGGTGGTTGGGCAGGACATGGCAGGACATGTCCCGAAATCTAGACCGACTGCATATACAACAAAAACCCAGTGCCCATCGGCTCACTTTTCCACTTCGGACCGAGGCACTATGGCCAGGAAAATCAGATCACCCAGTATGCCCAAGAACTGGCTCAACTCGGCCAGTCCTTCGATCGGCGGCTGCGCAGAGTCCAAACCGAAATCCCCTTTCGCCAAAAACATCCAACACATTGTGTTGTTCATGTTTGCTCCTGCTTGCCAATAAAATGTATTGTTCTTGTTTGATTAGTCTTGTTTGCCTTGTCAGCTCCTGCTACAACATCTGCAACCTGTCGAATGTCGGTGGTTTGATGTGGTTTCCATCATGTTTCAATCGCCTCTTGGGGGTGGCGGTGAATGAGAATTACCGTAGAAAAGAAACCGATGTCTTCCAACTCTCCATCGATGGCCGGCCCACCCTTTCATACCCCAGAAATCCATGTAGGGCATATCGACCTGCACTACCTTGACACAGAAAACATCTGAACCAACCACCCCATCCATTCAGGGCAAATAAAGACATTAATTCTCTGGGATATGTGAGGCATTGCAAACCCATTTTTGGCATCCCTGCTTTCTCCCAGGCTCCGAAGAGGACCACAATGTACAAAATCAGTTTCGGTGCCTGGCGCGAAACGGCGTTTATTTGTTCCACGTTTTTTGGGGTTCGGGTTTTGATACCAGGGAGCTTGCCAAAGGACATATGATACAAATGCACAAAAGGTCGGTTTACTCCATGATGTGCTAAAAGTCTTAAAAGGGTCGGTATGGCAATCTGTGAGTAGATATATATAATGCTGGAACACGTCACAAAATCTCTGCATTTCCATAACCCGTGTATCCAACTGCATTCGAAGGTGGTTGGACACCCAGTCTGTCTTTTTTTCCCACAAACGCTACCCACACACGCCAAAGACATTCAAAGACCAAGCTCTCAAGATGTGTCACCAAATGTGTTTTCTTTTGTCTTTTTGAGGGGAACATGTTAGAACAAAAAGCCTTCCGCTGTCACCGAACGCACCGAAAAACCACCGAACGCCTTGAGTGCGGTGGAGAGAAGGTACCGTGGCACCGCCACCGCGAAGCCCAGCACCAGCTTCGGATCGGCAAAGTCCTCGAAAAAACGCAAAAAACGAGAGTCGAACTATATCAAATGGAAACTGCTTTCAAAACGAGGTTTTAGAGGGGATCATGTCACTCCTCTATATCCCCTTTTATATCCTTTTTTGAAGGTCATGGTGTTGTTAATGAAGAAATAAGTACTACCTCTCCTCCAGACTCTGTACAACCTGTGGATTTCCGGTCAGCTTGTGCATGAATTCTTCTGCGATTCGCAGCCGCTTTGCACCAGCCGAGGAGCCCAAAGTCCTAGTCCCTCGAAGTCTTTGCCTGGCGCTTTGGCGAAACAAACATGGAGGGTCCTACCACATCTCAATGCTAAAGCTGTGTACCAACCCGGAGTGGTGGTTTGTCTGAAAATGAAAGAGAACACCGCCATTTCAAGATGACAACTGGGACCGGGATGTACACTCTGGAAGAGACCCACGTGGAACCTGAAAACCATTGGGCTGTAGCGGAAAATCATCTTCCAGTCTGGTCCCCAGTCGCCAGGATCCATGTGGGTCTCAAACACCGGATGCATTGCATTCTTTGTCATGTTGCGCCAAGGGGTGGTGCTGGCATTCGATCTCAACCCATTTTGCCCTCAAATACCTGCGCCGATGTTCCTCTAATCTCGAAGAGCTACTTGAATGTCGGTCAAAAACAATCAAGTTGGCAAACCAACCTCAAAATGTGAGGTGATTGCAATTTCCAGGCCCCTGGACTCCAAGAAAGCCAAACTACAAAGACTTAATGCAAGAACCAAACAGCTTGTTTAATTTAAACCAAACGTGCTGCTCTCATGTCTGCTCGTGTGAATTTCCGTGCTCGTATGACACCATCTCTGACGTGGCAACATGCAGATTTAACTCTCTTGACAAAGCGCTGGTTGAAAACAACCCACCGGAAACAAAGAACTCAGAAATCCCTTGGCTTATATAGACATACAGTAGATTAAACGACATAGACCGCACACAATATTATATCACATGTTATATCAAAACTATGAATATATCATCATATTATATATATATATGTCATATTATATACTGTATTGTATGACCTACTTACTCTGTATGTTGCTTATATCATCTTATATCTTTGCTTCGGAAACGTCTCGGAACCGCCCCACCTTGTGCGGACTTCCGCTGGAACAGGAGCTGCAGGCCCTGGAAAATCTCGGTGCCAGTCTTCCACCAGCCGCCCGACATGGGGCTTAACAAGTCCTGGCCGGCTGCCCAGGCAGTCGGGGAAAAAAAAACACACCTTCTTTGAAACCTGACGACCAAGCCAAGCCTGTTGCACATGATGGAGCTAGCTAAACCATGTTTGCTCTGTATAAGGGGCGGCCTGCACGTCACGTTCGATGTGAATGACTTGTGGTGTAGATCACGTGTGACTTCCATGGGCAAAAGCGTTAAGAGGTGGGTCACAGCAACATCTCCTTTCGTTGAGCTGTGCACACCAACAGCCATGCTGAGAAGGAAAAAACCTTCCAGTGGAAGTCCACCATGGTGTGCCCCATCTGAGGTCTTGGAAAAGTGGGCAGCGTGAGCAGGTGCCGCCGCACTGAAGTGTGAACGAGACCGTCGATAAGAACATAACTAGTACTTCAGAAATTCCACTAGTGTCACTAGTGATGTAGTATGTAGTCAGAGGCGCCAACAGAATCATATAAGCAACTTTGACCTTAAAATAAAGACACATGAACACTACTCCCACACATCCGTTGTATGATAAACTGCCCACCCAAACAAGGTTGGCAACATCCTTCAACAAATTCTCCAGGACTCCTCAAGTCAAACCTCATTCTCATCCGTATATTGATACATATATCGATATATATATATATAGTGCAGTGTAAATATACATAAATATATATATATAGTATATATACATATACATACACAATCAAACAATACACATAGCAGCGGAAACACCTGTTAGGGTGCCAAACATGCCAAACAGCCTGTTGGGGGTCCTGGCATACACAAGTTCCAACCGTTTTTCTACGTTAAAATATTTAGATGTCAATGCCTTAGGTATCCTTAGCGCCTTAGCTCAATCGTTCCACTGCTTCGGCCACGTTTCAAGGTGTCCTCCAAGGCCTCCCCAAAGGCCCGCGAGATCTGCTCGAAGAGCTCTTCGATTCGTTGGTCGCCCAAAACCACCTGAACCGCTACGGCGAAGAACGTCCAAATCCACGGCGTTTCTGTTACAATCATTCGCGCTTTGCAAAACGCCTGCTGTAACATCATCCCGTGTATCCCAGTGGATCCGAACAGCACGCTCAGGAGGTAGTTGGGGTGGAATTGCATGATTTCATGGTGTTTGGGGCCACCTGCATGATGGGAAGGTTTTGGAATTGTATGGCTTCCTTGAATTCCACCCCAATCTATCCTCCACCCTCCAAAGACCTCACCGACCACTGCGCTCGACCTCCCATCACATTTTTTTCCTCCTCGAGCTCTTCAACGAGCTCACCGGCGCCAGCCGGGGTCCTCAGCACCAGCTTGCAGCGACTTTCTGCATGGTGCACCTGGGCTGGGGCTCAAAGAAAATAGGTTCATCAGGTATTCGGTATTCACATAAACAGTCAAACATATAAACTTGTTGATCAAAGTGCGGGGCACCCACTAAACCATCGTTCCAAAGCCATGTGCTCCAAAGAAGTTTGGTGACTGGCAGCACAGCAGGACCTCATGTGGCCAATCCAGTCTTCACTGCCAAAGCTGTGGTACTTGCGGCAACCAATTCCTTTAGGTCATGCAGGATCAAAAACGGATTGGCCACAGAGCTACAACCATAAACGTTTAAAACAAAACTCTTGCTTTAATTGGTGCTAGGGGCGGTCATGAACTTGCCACCATGCTAGCTCCTGGAACGCCTTGGGGATGAGCTTATGAGCTGGAGCCCAGATTTGTTTTGGGAACCCACAACCTACGTACACAAACCAGGTTTAAAGCTTTCCAAAGTTCAGAATTAGGAACATGAATTTTGGGCCGTGCAGGCCACCAAAGACGCGACATCTCAAGTGCTTCAATGGCCAGATCTATGTAGCAAGCCAAGCACATCTCCTCACCCATGCATGGTCCCAGTATGTCCCAATACTATGCTCAACACCTAGAGACTCTTAGAGACGTTTTTTCTCAACCATGGGTGGATCAAAACTTCACCAGCCAAAATATCCCAGACAAGACTCACAATGCCGTTGCATGGATTTGGCCGCATCGCCATCCAGGTAGCGGCCACAGCGCTCAGATTCATCATGGAAGGCGGCAACACTGCACCTGGGATTTGGACAAGGGGGGGATGGTCCAGGGACAGTTGCGACGGAGTGGTGTTTAGGGAGTCTGGTGTCACTTCAATCATCGACGAGCTGGAGGAGCACTCTCGAACATCAAATCTGCAATGCGTCGAGTTGATGACTGAAATCGAAGCCCTACGGCCGATCTCGAATGAACAAAGAGATCAACTTCGCGGCTGCCAAGCCCCCGAGAAGCATCAAACCAACGGGGAGAGCTGGGCAGAGTGGGCCTAACGCATACAGGATGATGGCCATCTCAGGCGCTAGACTTCTACAGATCTGGAGGTCGCTCCAGGTGTGGCTTTGGAAAGACAGGCGCCCTCACAATCAACTGCCCATGATGGGAGATGAGCGGATGGAATTTGGGGAGGATGATATTGAGCTCATCCCTGAGAACCTTCGATAAGAAGATGTCATCCGCTTCAGACCGACCCGGCTCGCCAGTGAGTGTACTTCAGGCTCCGGCCACCTTCAGGCTCCGGCCACCTGCACACAGAGTTGTCAGTGTGAAGAAAAGGTGAGCAAGGTGAGCAAGGTGCGCGCAGTGAAGGAAAGGTGAGCAAGGTGAGCAGAAGCTGCTTGCAAGATATCAAGCCGCCGCAGAGTTCATTCTCTATCACGCTTCACTGCACTGGCGAAGACCAAGAAACAAATCAGCTCAGTATGGACATTGAGCACAGCACTGACATGACCCAAGTGCTTTGGGCAATCAAATGTCCACTGCTCTATGAAGCTTGCTGAGCTTGAGCATCTACACGTAGCAAGGTCTTAATTGAACCTTCCAGACGACAACAGGTGTGTCTATGACACGGTCCTCACGACCTACGAGATCGTCCAAACTTCTGTACCGACCGATCAGCCAAGGCACACACAGTCACACATCTTCTTGAGCCGCAGCGCTTTCACAGGATCACCAGCGAAGGCAGCACTGAGACCAGTAAGAAAGGATGCCATCCAGCAAATCACGACGCGAGCCTCAATTCAACCCTTAGTGCACCTAGCTAGAAAATACTCTGGAATCCCCTTTAACTACACCAACATGCGCACCAAGAAAAATTGCTAGCCCTATTGCATTAAAATAGAAAGTGAAAATGCTGCACACATTACAGGGCAGAGGGGCATTCCACGCTTTCGATTGGAACTCTGGGTACGGGTGCTGCATTGAGCGCAAACCCTTGGCACAAAACCTGGGGGAACTGTGCCTTACTTGTCACTTGCATAGCACACAAAAACTTCAATCGATTTTGAAATCAACCAGCTGGCAAAAAAAAGAAAACTTAAACCCAAATACAAATTGGCCAGAACACTCCCATTTGTTCGAGCGAGCCCATGACTTGAAAGCCAACCACGCAGCATATAGTCGATCATCATCTGACGGGCGCTCACCATCAGCATTCACCCACACATCAAAATCTTCCAAAAGGCATCGAAAAGAGGAGCCCAGGATCCATTGATCAACTCCAAGATGCAATATATGCATCATGCACCAACGAACCATGCAAGAGTTGAAGAGTGGTAGCTGCAACAAAGGGCCTTGATTTTAAATGTCACTAGATCGAATCAAAACGTGTTAGGCGCAAACAAAAATTATCACAAATTATGGATCTTGTCACTACCAACCCATGACCAGGACACTCAACCACATGACATGTTTGCAAAAAAAACTATTTCTTTTCGAGTGATCACCACCGTGACATCTCACTCATTTGTTTTCATGCCATGGTGAGGAGCATGTTGCCAGTGAGTCAAGGTGCTGGCAGGTCTCTTCAGAGATTGTGCAAACGATTCTTCAGACCGGCGTTGATCACGCATGGTTGGTGCAAAGTAAGTTTTTTTGTCTGCCATGCAATGATGGCAAATCTTGTTGCAGAGGTAATATGTGCTCAAGCCCAGCCACTCCTCACAGGGAGGGAAGGGCTGAGCAAAACCAGATTTAAAGACAGACCATTATTTGGACCTCTCACCAAAACATGATTGGTTAACATTAAGACCATCGGTCCATGCAAACACTGAATAATGATCATATATTTATTTCTGTGAGCGGGCCTATGAGCGGGCCTGTAAGCGGGCCTGTGAGAAATCTGCAAGCGGTGAGCAGTCTGTAAGCGGGCCTGTGAGAGTCTGTAAGCGGGCCTGTGAGAAGTATGTAAGCGGTCTGTGAGAAGTATGTGAGCGGTCTGTAAGAAGTCTGCGAGCGTTCTGTGAGAAGTGTGTGAGCGGTCTGTGAGCGGTTTGTTAGAATCTGTTAGAAGTCTGTGAGCGGTCTGTGAGAAGTGTGTGAGCGGTCTGT